CAAAGAATACACCTGGGATGTATTAATATTTATCCTTATACTGATTGAGTCCTAAAATGCAATTTTTAATAATTATTTTATCCAAACAGGGACCATGAAGACAAAAGTGCCCATGAACTCAGCAAGTCATAATAAGACCCCATGGGTGTACCTACTAGATTCCCATGACCTGAGCCAATGCAGCTATCCTCACCTGGCCCCTGGTCCCTGAAGACCTGTCTTGTCCCAATTTGGGGTTTTAGGGGCCAATACTGATGACTCTTATCTGACCCCCAGTGTTCGCCGTGACGGGTAGGGACGGGCAGACAGGTGGGGACGGGAGCTCAGTGGTATCGGGGTTGGCTGGAGGCTGTGGCTCAGCTTGTGGCCACGTGGGCCTCCCACATGCCCTGGAGGGAGGTTCCCGCTAACTCGGGGCCTCCCCTGCAGCCCAGGGAAGCCCCGAGTGTGCCGAGCAGAGAAGGTTCCTGGAGGCCACAGCCCTGACCACAGAGCAGGGAGCCCGAGGGGCTGAAGTTCACATGCTCAGATCCTTCCCCGGACTCGGCAAGGGAGAGCGGGGCCCCCAGAGACACGAGAAGCCTGTCCTTCCTCTGTCACCTGCTCAGGGACAGTGGGCGGGAGAGTGGCTCCTCTTTTGTCCCATCCGGCCAGCTTTCCCTCACGGAATCCCACGTCTCCTCCCTGTGTGTACCCAGGTGCCCCAATGGGATGGTCGAGGACAAGCCTTGTACCCCCTGGAGTGACCTTGTGTGCGTCCCCGAAGGATCAGGTACTAAGGCGTCTGGTGAAGCCCCGGCTGCTGCAGGACCAGTGACCGCCAACCCGGGGAATTCTGCCTCTCCCCTCCCTTCCTCAGGCAATTGGCTCATCCCAACGATCATGGTTGGAGCTTTCCTGTTCCTCCTGGTGGTGGTATTGCTTTGGTGGTGCATCCGCACAGGTAGGTGTTGGCTGAGAGAAGGGCCCCTGGGCACTCTCTGTCCCTCCCCCGCCCTGCTCCACAGGCAGAAGTGCCCTCCCCTGTCTCCCAAATCCTTGTCACCCTGTGGTGGTCACCATCTCCCACCTAACGTGCACCCCCACCCCGCCCAGGACCAGGATGTCATCAGTCCCTCTCCCACGTCTGGAGGGCGGGGCCAGCCCCCCTCCCCCTTCCATCTTCAGGGCCAGCCAGGGCAGAGAGGGAGTCGGCTCCTCCACTGGGGGACCAGGGTCAGGACCAGACGTGCTCAGAGGGTTTATTTGGTTTTGGTCAGCGCGGAACCAAACAGAGATTTCACATGTGTTTATTTTTACTCTATTTTCTCCTCCTTCCCCCTCCTGAGGGTGCCCCAGAGTTGGAAAGGCCCCGTCCCTGTGCCCAGGCCGGGGCTGCTTGTCCAGTGTCTCAGCCCCCAGCCCAGCCCTGCCCGGGCACTGCCCTCAGGGAGGGGGTGCTGCATGGGCTCCTCCCCACTTGCTAAGGGGACCCCCTTCTCTTTCAGGTCACTGCAAGGACCTTAAGAGCCTGGACAAAGTGAGTTGGTTTCTCCAGGACCCGGGGGCACCGGGTGCTCAGGAGCTGCTTCCTGCCCACACAGAGCCCTGGGTGGGGCATCCCCACTGTCCCATACGGCTGTGCTGGCTCTCTGCAGTGGCCTGGGGCTCGGCTGACCCTGAGGGCCACATGGCTGCCTTGAGCACCACACAGGCCAGTGGGCCGTGCTGCAGCCCTGTCCTTCCTGCAGCTCTGCACCCTGGGGATGGGCGTGACCAGGGGCGTGGTTCCAGCAGCAGATGCTGGATGTGCTCAGCCTCTGCCCACCTGGGGTGACCCCATTGGGAGGGGTGGGGTTGAAGGAGCAGCAGTGCCCCAGGGGAGCTGTGGGGGGCCCTGGGTGTGGACTCCTGGGTCTGCTCTTTGCCTCCCAAGTTCTTCTTCTGGCGTGGGAGGTCCCCACGAGGGCCTGGGGCTGAGGACAATGCCCGCATTGAGATCCGGAACAACAGAGACTCTTGTTCCATCCTGGACTCTCAGCAGACAATGGAAAGCCAGGAGCTGGCAGTGCTGACAGGTGTCACCGTAACGTCCCCAGGGGAGGCAGAGTGTGTGCTGGTGAGTGGAGTCCGCCGTGCTGTGTCCAGGTCTTTGTTGATAGAGAGCGAGGCTGGTGCCTGGGCTGTCCTGGCCCAGGGGAAGGCGGAGCCTGAGGGAACAGAGGGACTGCCAGGGACAGAGGGACTGCAGGAGAAGGGCGGGTGGGCGGGGGACTGGAGGGATGGAGGGACTGCAGGGGACAGGGCTCCATGGGCCCCATTAGTGATTAAAAGGTGCCACATGATCTCCGCCATGTGCTCCTAATGGAACTCAGGGAGCCCTTGCTCATAGTAGCAGTTGTGTTAAATTTACTGTGAAAGTATTATTACATTGAACATATTGCACACAAATCTTTGTCTAGATTTTTGATCATGTTTTACGGAGACTTCTTAGAAGTAGAATTTTCAAGTCAATGCGTGGAAGTGCTGTTTACTGTGAACATGCACACACACACACACACACACACACACACACATGCGCACACAGCCCTGGTTTCGGTTTCCATCAGTTCATACATTTTGATCTGAAAGTGAGTGCTGTTCCTGTTCTGCTTTTGCTGCAGGAAGACAGTCATTGTTTTAAAGGTGCATTTCTTTGCTTTGACTGTTTTTGCATGTTATCAGCATCTTGTCTATCGGAGTGTTGCAAGAAGACGTGCTCTCCTGCCCGTGCACTGTCTCAGATACAGAAATGGATCCCTAAGTTCTTGCTGTCCTTTCGTTTGATCTAATATTTTCATGTGTACACGTTTTAATTTTTAACCAGTGAATTCTGTAGATACATTTACTTTTGCATTGCTTATAGCTTTAGAAAGATCTTTCCCCAACTTACGATGAATGTCTCTCATTTCTTATGGAGATATTTTTGCAATGATTTGATTTGTGCATAGAACTTTATAATCTAAATGGAATTTATTTTGTGATTCGATATGAAGTGAGGCCCTTCCTGAACTGTTTCAGTTACTGTCTGGTTCTTCCAACCTCCTCTAGCCACTAATTCTCCGGTTTCCTTTTGCTTTTGGTCCCTCCTGAATAACTGGTGATGTGTTAATATAGACGCTGATCTCCTTCCACCTAGACCCTTCCTTTCTCGCATCAGCACCCATTTTTATTTAACAAAGAAAATGTAAAGAAAAAGAAAAACATTTTTAAAAAGTCAGTATTCCCTCCAGCTTGATGAAGGGCTTTGACATTTTTCAAAAGAGGTTAATACCTATTCGAAGTGAGAAAACTTAAACACTATAGAAAGGGACTCAGTGAGTGGAGAAGACATCGTCCACTCCCCCTGTACCCCGAGCCCCGGGTCTTTTTCCTGGAGTGACTCTGAGAGGTAATTTCTTGTGATTCTTTAAGCATATGTGTATGCTTGTGAAAGATATTGTATTGTACATAATACGCTTCCACATAATGCAATTTTCTAATATGTTTCAAAATCCAATAGAGCAAATACCTCCTCCTTAATTTTCCCAAACTTACCATTTTACTCAGATAAAATTTAGAATTGTTTCATAACATTTTCTCCTTGTCCAAAATAATCATGGGAATTTTTATTAAATTTACCTTAAATGTAAAAAAGTAATCTAGGTAGAATTGGGATCTTGTTATTATTCAATGTTTTTTTATTCCCAGAAGATGACTTTTTAGCTATCTGGATAGCTAAGTCTCTAGTCATGCCAGGGAATTTTCCTGAATTATTTTCTCAAATAGGTTTTCCATGCTTTTCTTTGTTTCTTATTTTCCCTCAGGGATACCTATCATTCTTATATTAGCTCACTTTGCATAATTCCATAGTTCTCTCAGTGATTGTTCAGCCTTCTTTGTTCTTTTTCCTAAATTTTCTACTGACCGGGTTACTTCAAAATCCTTATTTTCCAGCCCTGAAATTATTTCTTCTGCTTGGTCTAGTCTGCTGTTAAAGCTTTCTGCTGCGTTTTGAAATTCCCTAAGGACTGTTTCATTTCTTTAAGTTCTGTTATCTCTTTTGTAATGTTATCTATCTCTTTAGTGAATTTTTCTTTCATGTCTTTAATGTTTTTGTTTTTTTTTTTTTGGTTTCTTTAAGGTGGTATTCTACCATCTCCTCAATTCCATTCGTCTTACTTGCCATCCATAATCTGAATTCCATGTCTGTCCTTTGAACCATTTCCTGTCGTTTGGAGTTCATTGATGGGGAACAATTGTGACCCTTTGGGGGTGTCAAGACCACCTGCTTTTTCATGTTGCCAGAATTTTTATCCTGGATCTTTCTCATCTGGGGCCTCTTCTCTCAGCTCAAAACACAGAGTAGACACAGTACACCTGTTCTCCTCTGCTGGGCCCTCCGTTGCTCGGTGAAGATGGGGACAGTCCCTGTATGGCGTGCTTGGGTTCTACTCGGAAGCTTGAGGAGGCAGGAGAGGGGCAGATGCACTGTGAACCTTTAACATTGCTGCTCTGCTGCACCCCCTTTGGTCTCCAGTGCTTGTCACAGGCCGCTGTGGCAGGGCAAGCCCATGGTTCAAGGCGCACATGGGACATGGGGCTGGCCCACAGGATGGGGCATGCACTTGGGATGGAGGAGGTATGCCGGGTTTGGTGTAAATGCATGTGGGCCTGGGCAGCCGGAATGCAAGGCACGAAGGCAGGGTGAGACACATGTCGAGTGTAGCACGGTGCAGGGTGTGGCAGACCCACGGGACATCACGCACACGGCTGGGTAGAGTGGGCCCGTAGGGCGGAGCGGGCCTGTGGGGCAGGGTGCCTGGGTGGGATGGAGCAAGCCCGTCGGGTGCAGCGCACATGTGCATGGACGAGGGCAGCCATGACCCCAGGCAAGCTGGTGGGGCAGGGTACACAGAGGACCGAGCACATAGGATGCCTGCACGGGACAGTTCTGACCCCTGCAAAGTGCCCTTGTATATAGTCTTCTATTGAGCCACATATAAAGACTGAGAGGAATGGTTGTCACCTGTTGGGTTTGGATGGGAACTGACAAGAAGGACACTTCATAGTTGGTTTGAATATTCTGTTTGATTGGGTGATGGTCACAAGTGAGTACGTGGAATGGAACACTTAGGAAGTGAGCATTCATTGCAAGTAACGGGAAATGAGTAACCAGCACACAGAGCCTGTGAGCTGCACAGGAAGGAGAGACAAAGAGGGGAAGTGACGTGTTGCAGATGTCACAGCCGGATGGCTGTCAGGCCGCACTGGAATCCGGGAATCCTCACTCTGACCCAGGCGGCCTCGCTGTGTGTTGCAGGGACCCACAGAAGCCAAAGGGTCTCAGATGACGACGCCACTGGTTCAAGCAAATGGCGTCGGCGCCGATCCCACTGACAGTAAGTGCTTTGTTCCTGGCGATGCAGCAGGAGGACAGGGAAAAGGGACAGTGTCCTAACTGCTGTCCCCATAGCTGATAGGGCTCTTCCAGAGCATTCAGTGCTGGAACCAGGGACCCTATGGTATTGTCCCTGGACCCTAAATGACGCTCTCCCCCCTCTTCTGACCCCCACTCTGCCCCACCCTCTCTGCACCCTAACGAGGACCCTAACAACTCTGTCCGCGCCCCCGCCCACCTCCTCCCTCCTCCCTTGTTCAGGGCCTGGTTCAGCCCCCCAAGGGCTGCCCTGCACAGCACCCACGGGCCCCAGGAGGTGACTGAGCACTCGACCTGTGTCCAGGCCCACTTTGCTGAGCTGCAGTGTAAATTGCAGACAGGATTTCAAAGATTTAATGCAAAAAAAAAAAAAAAGGAAAATGTCTCACTGATCATTTTTTATACATAATTGCATATTAAAATTATATTTTATATATATTGAGTCAGTACCTTACATTAAAATAACATCACTTATTTCTTTTTATTTTCTTTAACTGAGACTGTTAGAAAACACAGCCTCACGTTCCCGGCCGCCTTCTGTCCCTAAGGACGGCGGTGTGCGCACCTCTGCACACATCTCACTTAATCCACGCACAGGCTCGGGCCGGGTGGCCTTGCTCCCTTTTAAGGTTGACTTTTTGCCAGAGTCTGTCGTCCCACCTGGCCCGGGGAGTGAGGCTGAGCTGGGCGTGAACCAGAGACCCTCCCAGCCCAGGCCCTGGGCTTTTCGCAGGGGCAGGCGTGGCCGCCCTGGGACCTGCTCCCGTGACAAGTGCAGCCAAGTAGCTTCCCTGCTCTGAGTCGCTGCTGCACCCACTCTCTGCCCCACCCTCCGGCTCGTACCCCACATTGCTCTCTGCCTCCCCAGCTCCCTCCATC